TCATGGTAATTATGAGAATATTCATTTTCTTTTCCTTTTTTTTGAGACAGAGTCTCACTCTTGTCATCCAGGCTGGAGTGCAGTGGTGTAATCTTGACTCACTGCAACCTCCGCCTCCTCAGTTCAAATGATTCTCCTGCATCAGCCTCCTGAATAGCTAGAATTATAGGCACGTGCCACCATGCTCGGCTAATTTTTTGTATTTTTAGTAGATATGGGTTTCACCTCATCTGGTCTTGACCTCCTGACCTCAGGTGATCCACCCGCCTCGGCCTCCCAAAGTGCTGGGATTACAGGTGTGAGCCACTGCCTCTGGCTAAGAATATTCTTTAACCAATATGTGCTAGTTCCTTTTAGACACTGTGTAGAAATGGGGAACGTTTTGACTAAATCCTCCCTGGAACCACATGGGAACTGGGGTGTGTCCCCATCACAAGATATGTCTCTCATTTTGCTAAGTAGCCTTATCTGGGAGATGGCAGATGTCTGGAAGAAACCTGGAGCATTTGGACAAAGTTAAGTTCTAAAAATGACAAGGAAGTCTTAGAGGTGGCCATGTGGAGGGGAGTTTATATAACATAGTCTTGTAAGGCTACAAATAGCTTTAAAAGGAAGCACAGCTCAGGGCCGACTGCTTGGAATAAAGTAGTTCAGGGTAATTCCCAGAATCTTACAGTACCTGCTGTGGACTGAATTGTGTCTTCCCGTAAATTTACATGTTGAAACCCTCACTCAATGTGAGTGTACTTAGAGACAGGGCTTTCCAGGGGTAATGAAGGTTAGATGAGGTTATCAGGGTGGGGTCCTAACCTAAGAGGATTGGTGGCCTTATGAGAAGAGGAGACAGAGCACTCCCTCCTGAGCAACCTCGGAAGATTAGCAAAGGCTTGGGAGTGAAGGTGAATGATGCTGGTGGGTCCAGAGCACACCGAGGAGAGGCCGTGTGAGGACACAGTGAGAAGGTGGCATCTGCGAGCCGGAAAGAGCCCTCCCAGGAATCAGATTTGCTGACACCTTGATCTTGGACCTTCTGGCCTCCAGAAATCAGAGAGAATGAATTTCTTTTGTTTAAGCCATCCAGTCTAGATTATTTTGTTATGGTAGCTTTAGAAGACAGATTTAGGGCCCCAATTTGAAAGAATCTTAGAAGTCATCCCACCCAACTATTTTGTTTTATGAACGTGCTTCAGGATTCAAGACTGGAAGCAAGAACTGGTGGTAAGACAGGAAAAACCCCACAATTCGTCCCTATTTGTAGATGAACCTATGTGTGCAGAGTTGGAGCCCAATGCTCCTTTAAAGTATGGTAAGAATAAGTTTTGTACTTGGAAAGACTGAGCACAGTCTGGAGGCCTTAAACACCCCCCTAGAAGGGGTAAGACACTCTGCTAATTACTAAGACACTAAGAGGTAGAAGACCTCTGCTGTTTGTTAAATGACTCACCAACCTTTCAGGCAACCGATATTTCCTGAGCACCTATTATGTGCCAAGTAGTGAACTTGATTCCAGGAATGTAGAAAGAAACTGTCCAGGAAAGGAGACAGGTATATAGATACATGACTAATACAGTGTCCTGAGTACTAGATTCAAATATGTCATATAATATGCTATATAGGACGAGGTGCTCTGGAGTAACGGTAGGAAGATTAGGAAAGGCTGTGGGCAAAGGTGGGCAGACAGTGGTTCTGGTAGATTTCTGGAGCACATTCCAGGAGAACCACGTGCACTCCCACTGCCCTGTTATAAAACACCATCTCTTTCGTACCTGGATTACTGACTGCAACATTACCTTACTGTCACGTATACCTGCTAGTGTCTCCGGCGAATATATTTGCCACAAAGGAGTCATGATCTTTTTAGACCATGAATCTGGATCATTATCACTTCCCCTGTCTAAAACTTTTCAGAGGTTTCTCATGCTGTCAGGATGTTTAGTAGCATGTAATAACGAAGATAAAATATCAAAAGTACATAGTCCTTCTTCTGTACCTGCTGTTCATCGACATGCTTTACATACACACTTGGTTCTCTTTATTCGTGGATTCTGTATCTGTGACTTCGCCGACTTGCTAATGTTAATTTGTAACCCCCAAATCAATACTCATGGTGCATGTGTGGCCGTTCCTGGAGTGTCCAGAGTGGCAAAACATTCTGAGTCATTAGATGCTTACATTTCTAGCTGAGCTCAAACAAGATGACACTGTTCCATAGTATAAATGGGTATCTTCTCGTGGCCCCACTGTTTGAATTTTCTGCTTTTTCTTGGTGATGTCCCTGTTAAAAATGGTGCTGACATGTTGTCTAGTGGTCCTAGATGCAAGAAAGCTGTGATGTGCCTTACAGAGAAAATGTGTGTGTTAGATATACTTTGTTCAGAAATGAGTCATAGTGCTGTTAGCCTTGAGCTCAACGTTAATGAATTAACAATACCTATGTGAATAAAGTGCTTTTACAACTGAAACACACAGAAAACAAGGTTATATATTGATCAGCGGATGAACATATTGTGACCAGAGGCTTGTAGGAACCTTACCCCGTATTTCCCCTGAGAGCAATGGTGCAGTTTTCACTAACTCATTGTTTGAAGTGACTTTATAGAACATAACTACAGTGAATTATGATTATCGGCTGTAGTAACTCACTTAAAATTAATAAGAACCTCATATAATAATAGACCAAGTCTTTTCTATCACACACACAGCTTTCTGTTTTCGTTCCTGATCTCAAGGACCTTGTCATAGACTATCTCCTTTGCCTTCTCTCCCCACCCCATCTAAACCAGCCAGTTCAAATCCCTGTTATTCCACTCACGTCACCTTTCACTTTGCATTCTTAGCGCAACTTATGGTTTTATTTAATTCATTTTTTGGTGTCTTTCCCGCCTTCTCAACTATTGAACCTATGAGGGTGGAGCCTGCGAGCCACCTGCAAGTCTTAACTCTGCTTGTTTGCTCTTAGGCAGAGGAGGATGAGCACATGAGGGAGACTGGGAAGGGTGCTCAGAGAGGGAGGAGGGAGTCAGGCTTTACTATCAAGAAGCAGGTGAGGAGAGAGTCTTCCATCAAAGAGTGTCAGTTGCTTCAGAGATAAAGAAAGGATGGAACAGTGCACCTGGATTTCACATCCAGGAGGTTGGGGGTGAGAAATGCAGGCAGGTTGTAAAGCAGTGGAGGTGCATGCCGGGGCGCGGCAGGCTGAGGAATGCATGGGGCATACAAAAGGGAGGCGAGAGAACTCTTAGGGAGCTTAGCTGGGCTGGAGAAGGTGGAGGCAATAGTCGCAGTGGACAAGGATATAGGGTTACAGGATGGTTTTGTAGAGGGTGAAACATAAATATATTTTATAAGCCAAGAAGGAGAAAGATAGTTGAAAGAAGTTGAGAATGGTAGAAAGAATGAGGGAAAATCTAGGATCGAGTCAAGATCACTAGTGAAGGGATGTACCTTAGGAAAGACGTAGAGATACACACTTTTCCCTTGGAGCCTAGAGGGAAAGAGGCAAGGGTGATTTTAAGGGGAGACATTTCTGGATGCAGGATGGGAAGCTGGAGGACTGTAAGCTGTGAGTTTCTTGATGCGGGAGGCAAGGTGCCTGCTGGAAGGGCTGGAAGTGAAAGCTCAAAGTGACAAGGTTTAGAATGGTGTGTGGTGGAGAGGAAGAGCAACCACTGAAAGACAGCTAGGCAGTGCTGAGGGCTGGCCTCAGCTGGCCACCGAAAACCAGAACGATGCCAATACGTGTAGTTCTGGCATTCTTTCCCTCTCCCAGCAGTGCCCAGCAATCCAGGTGAAGGCCTATAGAACATGGGTTGCTACCCTGGTCCCAGGTTGAGGTATAAGGCAACACGGCTTGGGTCTTGAGAATGCTGGCAAGCATGGCTAAGGGCATGGACCTGGGGCCGGCACTAGATGGGCAGGGCTGCGTGGCCAAGAGGTTGGCTAAGGAAGAAGGAAGAATCCTGCAGGTTGAGGGTCCTAATGAGGTTGGGGGGTGGGGGCGGGAAAAAAGCAAGACTGGTGACCTGGCATCCTTGAGCATGAGGAGTTTGGAGCCATGAGAGATGGTGATACTGGCCCATTAGGGTTTACAATGAATGACATGATTCAGGCAAGAGGAAATGTAGTGGACGTGAGGATACTAGAGTGCAGAAAGTCTGAAAGGCTTTGCGCCCACGGTACTGAATGATCTGGGGCAGCTGCAGTCCCCAGATGAGGGCAACAGTAGGGAAAGGGACAGAAGAGGCCAATGACATAAACCTCAAAGGAAGATGAGGTTTGCAGATAGGAGGCAGCTTGGCCATCTAGAATTTGCAAAGGGGAACCAGAATAATGCCTGCACTACTTTCAGGAGACAGAGTTGGGGCGGGGATTAGGCTGGTTCCAATGGAGTAAAATATATAGATTATATTGCAAGTTCGGCTAAAGATGGAAATGGTACAGGGCTTGGGGAAGAGACTCAGAGAGAAATAAAGAGAAGGAAGGTCTGTATTCATAGAACCTGGGTCCTAAACAGGAGAGTATACTGGCATCATCTAGAGGGCTAGTCATTATCCCAGTCTCTGATTTAGTGGGTCTTAGATGGGGCCTGAAAAACTGAATTTCTATTGAGTTCCCAGGTAAGGCTGGCACTATAGGTCTGGGGACCACACACTGAGAACCACTGTGCTGAGGCATGGACATTACTGGAGAAGCTCAAAATTGCCTGGGGACAGGGATAGATTAACTGGAAATCTTTCAGGGTGGAGAATTGGTTGAACTGTGCATTATCACGGATATCTTAGAATTGTATCTCCGAAAAACAAACATAAAAAGGAAACAATTCTACTCAAACCTGAGTGAGCCAGAGAGAAAGAGACTTTGGGGACCGCTCTGTCTACTGGCTTTAAGGTTTTACGTAACAAAATCTGTAGCAGAAGACTGAATGATAGAAAATTTAATGGAAAGTGGAGATAATAGGATTTTCCTGCCAAAGCGTGGAAAGATAAAATAAAATAACTTACCTGTTGTGCAGATTGTCTGTTACGTTTCTCTAGAAGTTTAACTTCTCTTCCTGCAACAATAAAAAAGTTGAAAATTGAGATCTGTAGGTCACCTCCTTTTTACAGCCACATAATATTGTGAGTGTGACAGCAGGAAGTGTTTCCTAAGGGGCACTGGGCAATAATGTGGGGAAGGAGTTCTTGGCTTGGAACAACTTGCCCAGGAAGGCAAAGGGTGTGACATTTATCAGCCTGGGATTTACAGTCCAGCTCCTGACATTCAGCAATCAATTCACGGTTAACCACAATTTCAGTCTATAAAATAATATTGTAGTGAGATTTAAATGGCACAACATATAAACTGTTGATCACACACTGGGAGTGTTGGAGTTGTCCACTAACCCACAGCTATCTACTATGGTCTGAATGTTTGTGCCCCTGAAAATTCATATGTTGAAACCAATTCCCAGTGTGATGGTATTAGGAGGTGTGATGGTATTAGGAGATGGAGCCAGCCATGCAAAGAAAAGCTCTCATTAAACCACTGGGCTATTAAAAAACCTTAAGTGGTTCTGTATTGCCTACCAAATCTTAAATGTCCTCAGCTATGCATTCAAGGCCTCCTACAATATGACATGCATGGCCTTCCTAGTTTATCTGGGAAACTCCTCTGGCTACTTTCTAGTTCAAGCCAAATTAGACTTTTCACTATTCTTTAATGCCAATGCTTCTATGCCTTTGCATATATTGCACATATTATTTCCCCCAGTTGGTATAGCTCTTCACCAACCAAAACTTTACAAAATTCTATTCATCCTTTGAAACTCATTTCATACACTACTTTCACCAGGAAGACTTAAAAAAATTAAAAAATAAAGGTAATTACTCTATTTAAAATATTTCTAAAGGATCTTTAAGCTCTTTGTATTAGTCCATTTTCATACTGCTATGAAGAAATATCTGAGACTGGGTAATTTATAAAGAAAAAGAGGTTTAATGGGCTCACAGTTCCACATGGCTGGGGAGGTCTCACCATCATGGTGGACGGTGAAGGAGAAGCAGAGGCACGTCTTACATGGTGGCAGGCAAGAAAGCATGGGAACTGTGCTTTATAAAACCATCAGATCCCTGAGACTTATTCACTATCATGAGAACACCACGGGGAAAACCCACCCCCATGATTCAGTTACCTCCTACTGGGTCCCTCCCACAACATGTAGGGATTATGGTAGCTACAATTCAAGACGAGATTTGGTTGGGGACACAGCCAAATCATATCACTCTATCAAGGTGGACAGCTCTGAGCACTTTCTGCCTTGGATTAGAGTACATTATTTATTTATACAATGTTCCCTCCATCAGACTATAAACCCTCAGTAGAGAAATGGTTTCATCAGTGTTTATCTGCACATTGTATCTCCTGACACAGAGACTTGCATGTAGCTGGTACCTTGCATGTTTTTAAAAAATTTGACTTAAAAATATCATTGGCAATTTAAAGATGCCTAATGCCAATGTATAATATTAGAACACAACAATGTTCACATTTTATAATTTCTAAGAGGTACATATATTCATTTACCTTTTAACATATCTGGAATTGGAATATATCTCACAATCATTGGCACATCATGGTTACATTGGCAGCATTACTTTCTGTCTTTGTGTTACATAAGATAATGGTAGATGTTGCAATCAACGGCATCTAATATTTAATAAAATATAGCATTTAATCCTATGTTATAGTTCATTTCAGCAATATATGACGCAAAAATCTTATAAACAATACCCTATATTGAACAGATGTCTACTCTTTCACAGTTGCTCAAAGAAGTCCTTCTAAGATGAAACTAACAACATCCAGGGATGAAGTAAGAATTTTATGAACTCCAAGAACTATAAAGATCAGGTATCAAAATAACAATAACCATGAAATAAGATGCATCAAAGAAGTTCTAATCCTTCCCAGAATGACTTTTTGAAATAATACATCTTTTCAAAAATAAACGTTTTTTTGGGTATACTGCTGGTACCTGGAAAACATATGTTTCCACATATGGAAACAAGTATAAATAATTCATTTGTTAAGCAAGCTAGCACTGGCATGACACTGGCTTGCACACGGGGACGACCTGGTGCCTGGTACAGCCAATCAGCACTAAGCGCTGTGGGAGTTTGGGAGAAGAAATAACCCCACTGCTGCAAAGCTGCCAAGAAAGGCTTTATGGAAAAATGAGGCCATGAGAGATGGGTAGAAATTAGATAGGCAGAGAGGACAGCTTTAGTAAAAGCAAAAGGTAGAAAAGAACAGGACTTGTATGAAAGACAATGGAGAGAACTATGTTGGATTTTGGGGTCACAAGATGGATATGACATATGTGGCCAGGTTACTGGGGCCCCTGAAAGTAGGTCCAGAAGACCAAATATGACATGATCGGCGAACAAAGTAGGTTCTGAAGTGGCAAATGACAGGATGAAAGCAATATATTAGACGGTATGACCTACCAGTTGTAAGCAGAGGAAACAGAAAGGGTTGGGTACAGAAAGACTTGCTAAGAGTTTACCTTTTGAATTTAATAATGAGATAAAAAGAGCCTAGTATGTGGTGGCATCAAAGGGAATTCAGAGAAAGGAGCAAATTTGGAAGTGATTTTTTTCAAGATTTCTTGGATTTTTGAGTTAGATTAATTTCTACTGTCCCTGGTTTCTCTTAGCACATTGGTTTATATGCTTATTACACATAGTATCATACAAGAGTTACATAACCTCACTAGCTCCTTTCTTATGCATAAAATGACAATGACAGTAGCACCTTTTTCAGACAGTAGTTAGGATTAAGTGAAAGAACACAGTATGGTATGGAGCACACTAGTTGGTACAAAGTACAATTTCCTTTTTTTTGGTGGGGGATAGAGTCACACTCTGTTGCCCAAGGTGGAGTGCAGTGGTGTGATCTCGGCTCATCACAACCCCTGCCTCCTGGGTTCAAGCTATTCTCCTGCCTCAGCCTCCCAAGTAGCTGGAACTGTAGGTGTGCGCCACCATGACCAGCTAACTTTTGTATTTTTTTTCTTTTTCTTTTTTTCCTTTTTGTTCTGCTTTGTCCATGATGATTTTTTTTTTGTATTTTTTTCAGCAGAGATGTGGTTTCACTATGTTGGCCAGGCTGGTCTTGAACTCCTGAACTTCTGATCCGCCCGCCTCGACTTCCCAAAGTGCTGGGATTAAAGGCATGAGCCACTGTGCCTGGTACAAAGTACAATTTCAACAGTGTTGGCTGTTTCTTGATTCATCAAAGTTATCGTCATCATCCCCCTCCTCCTCATCGCCTATTAGTTTTCAGTTTTTCTCTTGCCACTACAATGGAAGTTCCTTGAGTCTAAGGATCTATCTCATTATCTTTATTTCTTCAAAAAGAAATACAAAGTAGGACTTCTGTAAATATGGACCACAATTCGAGGTAAAAAATTCCAGATTTCCATGGAAGAAGGAATTTGTATGACAAAAGAAGGAATTATTAGAATTATTCTTATTTTTGGAGGCTGAGAGAATGGAAGAATGGTGGTTCCATGAATGAAGCAGTTGGCAGGAGCACAAGGTGTAGTGTTTCACAGATCCTGAAGTCAGCAGTTAATCTACTGGGCTGAAACGATGGATGGGAAGATGACAACAGAAAGGTGGTGGACAGGACAAATGCATCCAACTTCCTTCCATTGAAACAAAGGCAGAAACTCAAAGAGAGAGCAATAGAGGAGGTAAAAACAGAAAGTGAAGTCACTGACTTCATAAATCAGCAACCTGGCAAATAAAGAGTTGGCCCAATTTAGATGGTAGAATCATTAAGTTCCCAAGGAAAGTAATAATGAATTATGGAGGACTAAAATAAGAATAATTTGGAAGGTGTTTAAGAAGTTAGGTTACTAAAGTCCTTCCTGTACTCCTTGGGTGGTTTCTGCTTTCCATCTCAATCAAAGAATACAGGTTGAGTATCAGGAAAGGGTGAAACAGGGTTTTGGGACTGGAAACAACAGTAGAGGACACACAGGGGTTGCATACCAAAAGCTGGGGATCCAGTGACCATGAGAACAGAGAAACAGAGAATGTTGGGGTATGTGGTGGCATCAAAGGGGATCCAGAGGAAGGAGCAAATTTGCAGCCTTGTTCCCCTCCTTGGTTCCATGGGAATGCCTGGAGGCCACCCTCTACTTGTCCTGCAGACATCCAGCAAAAGTCTCTACCATAAAGATAGAGATCAAAACCAAGCAACCAATCAACAAAAAGCACTTGGAGGAAACAGAGAAAGAAGAAAGCCCAAAACAACAAACAGACAAAAAGCCAACCCCCAAACCAGACCCCAAATCATGCACAATAACATCTTGAACATGTTACTTGTACCCCAAAACAGAAAGCTATGCTTTTTTAAACAATTAGAGAATAGGCCAGGTGCGGTAGCCCACACCTGTAATCCCAGCACTTTGGGAGGGTGAGGTGGGCAGATCACGAGGTCAGGAGATCGAGACCGTCCTGGCCAACATGGCGAAACCCCGTTTCTGCTAAAAATAACAAAAAATGGCTGGGCATGTTGGCACGTGCCTGTAATCCTAGCTACACGAGAGGCTGAGGAAGGAAAATCGCTTGAACGAAGGAGTTGGAGGTTGCGGTAAGCCAAGAT